TTGCCGTTTCTTTGCCTTTAATCTTTGTCTTCATCCGCGAAGCAGGCTGAAATGTGACCTCTGTGGCGCGCGTCACGCCCCCCCCCGCTGGCGCTGAAAAAGACGCGCCTCAGGTCCCGCTTGTAGCACACTTTTGCACCTGCAAGGAAAGCAGCACACTTTAACCGATAAGCCTGTATTTACCAAGCCTTTTCACTGTGGACAATGTACCTTTCAGTAGGTTTCAACCTAATCCCTTTTCAAAAGTAAAAATACAAACTAAATATCTGTCAATGTATACTTGAGGTTTCACGTTGTAGTGTCCATTGTATCTTTTATGATCCAGTGATAATGTAAAAACCCAAATCAGATCAGTGCAGAGTGCAAATTGTAAAGTGCAGATCAATCAAAGATATAATAAAAGAGAGGGATTAAATAAAGCAGATATTATAATATAAATGCTCATGTGGCCCTGTCAGTAGGCTGTATCCTGATATCCTTAAAGAGAAGAAATAAGAGTAAAAGTCATTCACAGTCAACGGGCATCCATTCGTTCGTGTAGAACTGATAGGTCAACATTAATTTTGTGTGTAGAAGTGAATGGCAGAGGCAATGTGAATATTGAGGAAATGCTGCCGCTCGGTGGATTAATTCTGTATTGCAGCTACACCAGAATGCCAAACCACAAATTCATGCAGTTTTAAACAGTCTGTTGGCATAACAGGAGGTCAGAAAGACGTCCCTCAACCTGCAGAAAGCACTGATTGCTCTATGTAGGGATGCACTCAAGCAAATCAGACCGCATTTCATATGGAAACCAGACTTTTCAGCATACTGCTTTTCATATAAGGGATGCACCAGGCTCCTGACAGTGCCATGGGCAATGTATGTGCTAATAATAATAATAAACCAACAGTTTGATTAGTTTCATTAAAATGCAACCATTGCAGTCAACCCTTGATAGTCTATGTATCCCTGGAGTGTATATTATATGTGAAGACATGTTGTTTATGAATATGAGAGAGGATGTGTGGGCCTTTAAGGTGGGAGGACTTTCACAACAATAGGATTTTATGTGTTTAATTAGGCATTACTCGTCAGGCAAAATACATCTTGTGAACATGTAATCAAAAGCAATGGCACAGGATTATAGGAAGGTTAAAGCACACTTCCACTCATAAATATGTGTTTCTTCTTGTTCCTACCGTTGGATGTTTGAGCTTCACTGTGTATAATGATGTATGTGCACTAGACACAGAAGTGAGTGAGTGTGACAGTAGAAGGATGTTTTCACATTCATCTTCTGAAAGTGGAAAGTTTCTCTGTGCTCACTGAAAATCAGATTTTAGGAGGCGGGGCCTACAAGCATGATTTGTGACATGACAGATCATTTGGAGGTCGATACTGAAGATACTGTGTACCAAATGTCCATAATGAACTACTGAGCAGTGAGCTGTGTAGCCACTGTGGGTTTGGAGAATATGCTTACTGTATTTACTTTTTCATGTCAAGAGTTAGATGAGAAGATTGTTACCACTCTCATAAATTAAGTACTATGAAGCTATCACCAGCCGCTGGCAGGCTTAGTTTAATGATAACAGTTCGAAACAGCTAGCCTGGCTCTGTCCAACAGTGATTACAGAACAGAATCCAACAGAAATTAGCTGTAAATTGTTATTTACTGAGTTTTTAAGGTGCTGGTAGGTGGATTTTTTGAAAGTCCGGACAGATATAGCTTCTTCCCCTTGTTTCCTGTGCTTTGTAGTGTATTTTTCAAAGTGTAACTATTCTTTTGGATATAATTTGGCTGTTTAAATCTACAGTGTCAAAATTTAATCTGCTAAATGTTAGCATTTTAAAGCAAAGATCAAACAAAATGTAGCATAAACAACATAAACCGGGAGGAGTATTCAGGACCTCTAATTAAGTTAGTTTAGTGACCAATGTCTAGCATCTAAGTGTCTTGTCAGTTGGTCCTCTTTCCCAGCAAAAAAATTTAGTTGTGAGCTTCACAGTTTGGTAGCCAACAGAATTTATTACAGGAACTTAATTAAAACCCCTCAAATGGTTAACAGTGCTATTAACAAGAAATACATACCAGTGTAACAGTGCTCCTCAGCACCGTCTTTCAGACCATTAGATCTACTGTAGCCTTATTGTATGTGTGCTTAGTTCCTGCTGTGGGACAGCTCTGCAACAATAAGAACAGCTGTCCAAACATTTGCCCATCTCACCAGCAAGCCCTTTGTCAAGAACCTGAACAAACCTGGAGACATTTTCAAAATCAAGCAACAGCAACAGCTGGCCTGGCGTATACAGGTTCTTCAAGTGTTGCAGCATCGATTTTTGTCACTCATCCATCCTCAGTGCCCTACAATGAATGCCAGTCCTTGTCAGCTTCCGCACTCCAAATCTTTAACCTCAGCAGATGTGTTGACAAAATCTGTTTGGGGAGGAAGAGAGATGGCTGGCACTGCATGCTGTATGACATATCCTCAGGCTTTCCAAGAGCCATTGTTAATAGGAGCCGCAGCTCTTGTAAAATACTTATATAGAGCCTTTCTCCCTAGTTGTTCAGTGGCCATGACTGTCTCAGTATGTAATGTTTGATTGCTTTCTTTCAAGCCCACCTCCACTCCATCTGTGTTTCTTCTTGTTCCTACAGCTGAATGTTTGATCTTCACTGTGCAGAATGATGTATGTGCAGTCTGACACTAGTACGATGTTTTCACATTCATCTGCTGAAACTAGAACATTTCAATGGGTGTCTATTAGTGATATCACAAATAATTTAGAAGTCAGTCCTGATCCAGTATGCAACTTATACAAGTGTGATGTAGAAACATGTGAAAATTCTTCTTTTCTGTGGGGAAAAAACTCATTATTAACACACATTATTGTTACATGCAAATGATTTGATTAATAAATGTCTGGAGGGGATCTTTATCTTATTATCTTTGTATTCCCCATGTATAGATAGCAGAGACCACTGAACACCACATAACCAGGTGATTATAAGGTCATAAATCCACAATCAAATGCTTGGTGTAGTGATGGCCTCTAAAGTGTTTTTGGTGCTCAGGGTACTGAGGCCATGACAAGGCCTATGGTATGGATGTAAGTGAAGGAGGGTACAAACAGAAAGAAACTGTATCCAGTGAATTAAATAGTTAGTTGCATTCCTTCCTCAGCCAATGAATATGCAAATGTTTGTTCATTTCTAAGGTTTTCTAAGATGTCTCCTACTTCACTGTAGTAAGTCCAATCTCAGTATTTGTGCACTAGTGACTTCAAGTTTCTGCATCACAATTTTGCAAGTCAAATATTAGACCAGGAGTGTCCTTTCCCCCTTGAGCCTCAGAAATATACAATTATATCCGGTTTGTTTCCTTTTACAACTTTGAACGAAGCAGAATGTGACCCTGGATGTTGTTCAAACTGGTGAACAGTTAAGATCTGATAAATAGTGTGCTTGTACAGAGGTCGAGTAACCCTTAAGAGTAAAATATGTAATGTTGTTGAGTCTTTCCCATTTGATCTGGTTTTATGAGTCTTTTTAAGTGAGTTCCTGGTTTAAGTTAAGTGATGGCAACGGCTCATAAATGACACCAAGGCAGCTGTAAAGGTAGGTTGCTAACCAGGGTTAGCACATCAAAAGTCACACTATAATATAAATACTGGGAAACCTCTGTGTTTTTGTGCAATGTAAAAGCATAATTTTATTACCATGGATGTCAATGACCTCAACTTCACCCAGTGTTACAGTAAATGTTGTCCATCGGGGTGCTTCCTCTCACCAACAGGGGTCAGTATTCTCAGTTTTTTTTTCTCTCTCTCTCTCTCTATCTCTCTCTCTCACACACACACACACGCACACACACACACAGCTATAAAAATGCCATTGATAAAAGAATGTTTACAGTTTACAGTTACCCACAATTCTGAGCGCTGTGTGTTGATATCAAAGGGCTCGTTTTACACACAGCCTGCACTAAAACTGCTGCTTTAGATATTTCCTTTCCCGACCCAAATCCTTCCACATCAGGAGCCTACTTGTAAATATAAAAGCAGGGGATTTATTGTTTGGCTTGGAATGGTACAGTATTCCTCAGATGTAATTGGCTAAGGGGGAGTATTTGAGGAATTACATAAATCCAGTGTAACTCCATTGTATTGTATTCATTCATTGTCTCGCAGGTCTTTTTTTTTTTATCATATAGGCTGCTGACTTGCCATTCAAAATAATAAATGTCCCTATTTTGTCTAATGATTCATTATATGCTCATTAGTTTCACTAATTAACACTTGCAGGGTAGTGAAGTTGTTAATATGTATCTTCGTGGCCAACTGGATGTTTAAAAGTATCACTCCTCTTCTTTATTAACCCTGTTTTCGCTAAAGTGTGACCTGCTGTAGTGTCCTTGAGCAAGCCTAAATCTTGCCCAGCAACCCGTAGATAAAAAAAAACGCCACGCTCGCTCTGTTATCACAACAAAGGAGAACTGGGGATGCACCGCCGCAGTCCGCGCCGATGTGTGCAGATAAGCTGCGGCACTGATGGCACACACACACACACACACACACACACACACACACACACACACACACACACACACACACACACACACACACACACACACACACACACACACAGAGAGAGAGAGTAGGAAGTGGACTGTGGTTTATGAAGAAGTGCGCAGAGCAGACACGACGCTCCTGAATACGCACCCATGACTGTCGGCTGTCCCTAATTTAACTCCGAGCGATGTAATTGGCGATGGTGGATTTGATTACCATATTTGGCAAGATAGTGACACAGCGCGCCTGGGAATTGGACGAGAGCGGCCGTCATTCACAAACGTCTGCCTCCTCGAGCTTTACAAACAAAGCGAGTGCTCACGGGAGTTGTAGTCCAAAACAAACCCTTTCTGAGATTACTCGAGTGGGGATTTACCTCCTCTGCGGTGATTTCAATGCCACATGCGTGCCACGGTTTAAAGTGAACTTGCTGCGATGAACTACCGTCGTTTAACGTGTGTTTAAGTGTAAAAATATTGCCGTATCAGGCGGTTAAAGACACGCCGATAGGAGACCCTCCGCTTGCGGCATACAAATCCCACCGGTGATGCTCTCATTTGATTGGCCGCCTCCTGCTGTCAATCACCCAATGCCCCTTCTCCACTACCGCTCCTACAGTAAATATTTGTGTTTGCTCAACCGGCTGTAATGGTGGACGACTGAGGCAGAGGAACGGAATACAACTAGAGTGAAGAAAGAAAGGAAAACGGTCGAAAGTCTGTTTCAGAGCCAGTCGCCGCGAGTAGGACACGGGCTTCGTCGAAAATGGATGAACTCAAACATCAAGTCATGATTAACCAGTTCGTCCTGACGGCGGGTTGTGCGGCAGACCAGGCGAAGCAGCTTTTACAAGCGGCACATTGGCAGTTCGAGGTAAAAGGAGAAATAGGAAAAACGATAAGGCTCCAACGTTCTAGTCGGCGGGCTGTAACGTTAGCAACACGGCTAATGTTTATGTGTGACCGACCGTTAGTTTTGACTGGAGCTCGTCCGTCTGCCTCTCGCCACTTTTCCCCTCTTTTGCTCTCGAAATTCAACAAAAACAAAGCGTCAGTGTTGGCTATCTGTTCGTTTTTTAGTTGAACCAATTAGTCGGCCCACTTTAAAACCAGAACTTTTGCCGTATTTAAAGTGGATATATCTGCGCTTTTGGCCAGACCAAATCTGTAGGGGATACAGGGTAACGCAGCAGGGCGAAGCGTACAGCGAGCATATCCAATTAGACTTTACTCTAGATTAAATACTATAATCCGACACATGACAGCAGTGTACAGGCGAGGCCAGCGGGTGCTATTACGCAATAAAGATGACCGCCGTGTTGTATCGACTGGCCTAGTAAAGAGTAGTTTTAATTGTTTAGTCTGCGGTGAACCCGATACAGATTTAGCTTGTACATTTTCCTTCGCCGCAAGCTCTTTGTATTGTTTGGCTTTCATTTATATAAACACAGAAATAAGCGATGTTTGGGCGAATTCTTTGCCCCTGTGGCTATTTATAGTCACCTTATCTGAAAGATGAAACAGTATCACATAAATGTCATTCATTTTCTGTGTGTTTTCATTGTAGACCGCCCTCAGTGCCTTTTTTCAAGAAACAAATATTCCATATGGCCATCATCATCAAATGGTGAGTGCGAGGAGGAGGAGGGTGGTGATGATCATGTTCTTTATACACTATTCATTGTTTTGTTTATGTAATTGTACTAACCCTCATTTCATGCAAGGCTGCTGTCTTGTTTTGGAGGGGGGGATAAACAGCCCTTGTTGTACTAACAATAACAAAGCACATGTCGGCCATGTTCTCAGCCTCCAGAAATAAACACACAGGCAGGCATGCAGCTGCAGCAGCCACACTGAGAGAGAGAGAGAGAGAGAGAGAGACTGTGTGTGTGTGTGTGTGTGTGTGTGTGTGTGTGTGTGTGTGTGTGTGTGTATGGGAGAAAGCTTGAGATAAATGCAGATATATGAAATTTTTCATTGTATCAGTTGGGCTGCATAAGGGCAGGAAGACCCCCCCTCTCACACCCCAGTTTCTGGGTAAGACAGAAAACAGTGTCTTTCCAGGAAGAGGACAGCTGCCTCTCACAAATAGACCCTCGTGCAGTTGCATTTGTCTGTTTCGCCCTGACTGTGTTGCTGCTGGCCCGCAAAACAACACACACATGGGATGTTTAGGGGTGGATGGATCGAGGCAGAGTAAACTGGAAGGCGTTAGGGCTGTAGGAGACTCTGCACATGCACACACAGTGGTTGAACATTATGAAACACTAGCAGTATTTGGGCTTTTAGCAGCAGCCCACTTTGGCAGCACACAAGCCTTTGTTTGCAGCTGCATGCATGGCAGCATCCAGCAACAGCTGCCCTTTGGAAGAGCCTGACATGGATGTGTGGGGGGGATTTTGGATGAAACTGTTGATAATTTTTAAGCTCACGCTCTGTTTGTGTGGTAGAGATAGTTATCAAACTGCTACACATCTTAGCGTTGCTTTTCTAGAAGAAAGGGAGAGAGGTTGGGATAAAAGAGGATTTGTTTTTTTATTGCATTGTGTGTGTACATTTATGTCCTCGGAGTATCGCCAGTCATCATAGAAAGCTGTAGGGGTGGTAAAAATATCGATACGGCAATATATCGCGATACTTTACCGCCCAATATAATATCGATTTTTCAACTCCAAAGATTGATTTTTTTAAAGAATAATGATTCATGTTTAGACGCGTTGTGAATACAGTACGACTTCCGTACCTCCACTCCGGTAGATGGCGCTGAAGAGTGACTCTGCTGTGCGGCGCATTGTATTTCATTATACTTCCGTATTAGAGAGAGTGGCTGATAAAGCCGACGTTTGGAAGCACTGTGGCTTCCAAGTTAAAAAAGATAGTAAGAACAATGAGTTGCATAAAGATAATGCCGTTTGTAAGCTTTGTCTCGCTGCCGTGAAATATTGTGGGAACACAACGAACTTGCGATTTCACCCAGCAAGACACCACGCCGAGACATTAGCACAGAAGCAGCCGCAAAAACGGATTAATGGTACTTTATCCTTTATGTTTTCAGCTGCACTGTGAGTCGTACTGCAGGTTACAATGATTTCAGTTTGTTGGTCAGGGAAAAGAGATTAATGGTTACTTTGAGATATTTACAGTAGTTTCAGTGACAATAAATTTAATGCACTTAATTTTATGGTTTCAACTGCAGTGTGTAACAACGCATTTTATTTTCAATATATTTTTCAGTGAATGTCATGGAAATTAATAAAATGGAGAGGCTATTTTGAATGAAATAGTTTTGACTCAATTTGTCCTCTGATCAATATCATCTGATAGGTACTTGTATTTTCATCTCTATTTATATCGCAATATCGTGATACGTATCGTATCGTGACCAAAGTATCGTGATACGTATCGTATCGTGAGGTTCTTACCAATACTCACCCCTACTGAGCTGAATCATGTTTATCACAGCTTTATTGTAAGAAAGAAAGCCAGCCCTCCTGTATTGTCTGATCAGTAAATAAGAGCATCTCCGTCCTCTGTTTAGCTCATGAAATGTCTCACTTTAATTTAGAGAGTAAGCAATCTGCCAAGAGCTGTCCTGTTCTGTCTGCCAAATAGGGCTGAGCTTGATTGCTGCAGACACTGAATAATGAAAGTCAGAATGCAGAGCACCTACGTGTGTTGGTGCTGTTATTGTTATAAACACGTTCTTGCATAATCATACGTTTACATTCCCTTTGTTGCATGTTTCTGTTTGCGCTCACATACTTTACATGCATGCATTTGTACACGGTGCATGCAGAGAGAGTGGGTGTTTGTGTGTATGTGTGTGAGTCACAGCGATACTACAGTAGGGCAGCGTGTCCAACCTTCCTGCAGCTTATCAGGCCACAGTGTTCGTAGGTATACAAATCTAATCCACTTTGCTCTCGCTTTCATTCTTAACTCTGTCTCTCTCACTCTCTCTCTTCAGTTTAGAGTAAGCACGAACAACATTGAGTTACATTTCTGTAGCACATGCTGTTGCGTCAGTGTTTTGTGTTACAACACAAACTGAACTCATCCTTGAGATTGCTATTTTGGCTAGAAGCCTCATCCCAGCCCCAGTGGCCCCAACAGATAGCCCGTAGACATGCAGTTCTTGGCAGCATAGCAGGTCAGGACGTCATGTAGGTCGGTTAGTTTATGGATACTGTTCAGTGGGCTGGTTCATGCTTTTGTCTTTGAGGCCCCAGAACAATGCATGAGGCTGAATGCGACGTGCCAAATCACTTTCCCATCTAAATTTGTCATTGTGTAAGAGATTACAAAAGTGCTGTTGTTTTAAGAAATACATTTGTATCTCTAAATAAAGCTTGTCTGGTGTGGATTTGCAGCAGTCAGAAGGGTAGCATTCATGTTGTAAGCCATGTCATGTCTGATTTTGTTTACTCAAGTTAATGCATAATTTGTGCATTGTATGTCAGAGGTTTATACCCTGTATCAAATATCAAATAGTGAGGCGAGTTAGCCTGCTCACCAGTACAGTCTTGTATAATGCTGTAAATGGTGGAGGATTTAGCTAAAGCTCTTGTCATTATTATTTCCTCTTGCTAGCAATCCTAGACCTGGGGAGTGCCTGTGCTTTGGCGTATGATGTAAAAGAGTTACAATCTCTGCACAGGCACGCATTAAGTCTCTGTTTGTTGTTGTGTGCGTGTGTGTATGTAAAGTCTGTCTGTGAGAGCCGCGCGGCCACATGATGGATCTTGAACAGATACTCCATTTGTCTCTTTGTTTTTAAATAAAACCATCAAAGCTTACATCTGTGTTCCACGATGGACAACCAGGCCCTAAGCTCAATCCAGCCCCTCCCAGTCTACTCCCACCCAGTTTTCTCTTCTACACACACCCTGCCTTTACAAACACTGCCACCGCAACACATTCCTGCAGGATGCAACGCTCACACCGGCCCAAAATGGACCCTTTCACAGCAGAGGGGGCCGGTATAACTAAAAACACAGCACCCTGTCTCTTTCTTTAGTTTGTACACTCTAACTCCTCTTGCCTCCTTTACTCGCTAGCTCTGTCTCTTTCTGTTTGCAGACGCTGAAGACCCTAGAATTCCTTTATGTTTCCTGTTAGAGAATTTTATAATCATGCCCCGTCCTCATCATCTTCTTTTAGCATCATTCTCAAAGCAGTGTCCTTCCTCAGAACAGCATACCGGCATGTCCATGTTGTATTCCTGCCTTTTATTATTCATGTTCTAGGGATGTCCCAAGCTTTTGAGGCATTTTAAAATAAATTATGTGAAGTCTGAGTAGGGGTGGGCGATATGGGCAAAAAATAATATCTCGATATTTTTGGGGATTTTGGCGATAATGATAATCAGTCGATATCCTTTAAAATGTGATTGGAATTGTCTGAGTTAGGGCTTGTGTCCACCAAACGCGTTTTTAGCGCAGAGAGCGCTCAAAAACTAATTTTCCGAGCACCCAGCGGTGTTAAAAGTTGAACAGATTTCAACTTGAAGCGCTCTGAGCGCTGCGCTAAAAAAACGTCTCCACTGACATCTTTTTACCGCTGAAGGCGCTTACCGCTCTGAGCGCTGAAGCTCATAGGATTTGTATCGGCACTAAATCATCTGAAGTACCGGTAGCTTCAGGGACTGGAGGTGCTTGCATTTTCTCTCTACCATAACAACGCGCTGCTAAACTGTTGCAAGGAGGATGCCCACTAGTCGTGTGACTGAATCCTACCATGCTGTAGAGAGCGTTGCTGCACCGTGTATTAAGTGGATGTGAGGAGTTTCCGCGTGCGTTTCAATATTTTTGGCGAAGTAGTTTGAATACTCGATAATGGAAATTTGCACATCATCAAAACAACAATAACGATATTATCGCAAACGATATATATCACCCACCCCTAAGTCTGAGCTACTTTTTGACTTACACAGTTGGAACACCAGCTGTCAAAAATGCTCACCCACATATATTTTGTCACCTCAATGCAGAATAATAATAGATCATTCAAGTTATTTGTAAACAAAACCTCCTAAAATTGGTTTGTTGTGTGCAAGAGAAAGACTTCCATTGAACTAGGGTTTCTTGTGCGCATTAGCAGCTCCGGGAAGTATTTTTTCAGTCATCATGGTTTTCGAATGATCTGGTCTGGACAGTATAATGACTGTCTGTCTTCATGTGGCTCACTATGTGTCTCTATGAATTTGGAAGGAAAAACACTGACGCTTAACTGTATCTTCACACCAATATCAGTGTTTCCATGATTAATATCTTCTCCATGTGGGGCACATACAGCCACAATAAAGTGAATGAATGAATCCTCATGTGACCACAGAGGAGGAAGTAGCCCAGCTGGATGATTCGGCTGCTGTCTGGGAACATGTGACCCCATCATGTGACTAAGCTGGGAAATGAACTAACTAAGCCACAAAGCCTGCTTCACATGTGTGCAATTTCTGCCAGAGTCATGGCTATTAAAAAGTATGCAGTGAGGTCCTCATGTAGCAGCCCTGCAGTAAAGTCAGAACCGTGGTGTTGAAAAGTCTGTGTCTTTAGTAGGTCAGGGTAATGAAAATAATCTCCTCAAGACATATTTCAAATTCTCCTTTTCCTCTTAAATCATATCAGT